TCCAGCAGAGCCCCAGGCCAGTGGATTTTTCTGCAGCGGTGCAACTGGCAGGAAGTTGGATGTTAGCCACTGCGACTGAATAGAAGGGAAAACCCTGAACTGCAAACTCAGGACTTGCTATGGGAAAAAGGAGTGCTGAATTTTCTTCTTGATGTCTAGAAAATTGTTTCCTGCCCCCAAGTGCCTTGCTTAGGATGCCAAGTGGGTCTGTTAAGCAGGGATTCTCTTTACCTTCCTTCTGTCCAGCTTGTTTTCACAATGGCCCTTGCACAGGTTAAATGCAGAGCCACAGTTCTGAAACTCCATTGTCTCAGGTTGGCTTGATGTGTGCATGCAAGTACTTCTGACTTCTCGATCATGTGGTCTCCCAGTCTGTTCTGCTTAAGAACCAGCTATGTGCTAAGACCTTCTGCCTGCCAACAGGTTTGACCATCTCTCTTCCCAACTCTAAATTCTTTCAGTGGCTCCCTATTGACTTAGGAGGAAAACAGAGATTTACAGAATCAAGGGAGTCCCATTGAAAGAGATCTAAGAAGTCATTAAATATATGCTATCACTATTGACAGTTGAGGAAGGGCAGGGAACTTCTCAAGACCACTCAATAGTGCAAAGGTAAGACTAGAGCTAGATCTTGGGTCTCTAGGCTTCTAGTCCCAATCCATAGTCCTTGCAATGATATTCCTGGTCATTGGTATTGTCATATTTCTGAATTCACTCCTGACTGCTCCTCTATACAACTCTCAGTTCCAGCCCAGAAAACGCATTTGTTAGCACTCGAGGACACAGAGGGCTTTGCAGCCCTCGCTCATTTCCATCCCAAATGCCCTTCATCCTGCTTCTGGCCTCCTCCCTTTCCTTCTCCATCATCTCTGCCCATTTCAGTTCTGCTGATTTCTCAAGGCTCCAACAAAGGCAGTCTCAAAGGCGGTATTAGCTGATGCCATTGTCCTTTGTGCTCCCTGGCCCTCCTTTTCTGTCTACTTGGTGGCACTGACTTTCTAGAAGGTTCTCGGGCACATCTCTAACCTCCCTCTCCAACCCCAACAAGGTTTTAATCATTGAGGGGCCAGAGACCTGATGGAGTCACTTCGTAGTCCTCACAGGACTCATTGCAATGTTTTGCACATAGCAGTCATCTCATTAATGTTTATTGAAGGAATGTCACTTAAAATCTACTCCATCAGACACAAGAAGTAATAAAAATTACCTTACGTACTTGAAGGTTTGTATAAATATTCCTCCTGCCAACTCAGCGAGTTAGACAGTTGTTGCCATTGTTTGATGAGACACCAAATGCCCAGAGGGGGAAAGGACCAGTTTAAGTCACTAGAGATCATACTGAAAGATGGTGGGAAAGTGAGTATTGGAATTGGGTCTCCCAGCTCTCAGATCCAAACAGGCAGCGGTGCTAATACCTTCTACTGCTTTTCAGATCATTTCTTCTACAAGAATTGCAATGCAGGACAAGCTTTTCTCCTTGTCTCATTTTTAAAAGGGAACTAGTTACTATAGAAAAGGGGCTCATCATGGGTTAAAACTATCATGCTTCGGAATGAACACTTAGTGAATTCAATTTCCATGCCTGCCTCTCCCCAGCCAAGTGTCCCTGGGGCAAGTTACTTAACCTCTTTGAACTATAGTCTCTCCACACTTAAAGAAGGGACTTGGACTAAATGTACTACAAGTCGCTTCCAGCTCTAATGACTCAAGAGGGATAGTAGCATTGGGTAGGGGCATTCTAGACACTGGTAGAGAAATCCTGAGTTTAGAAGCTCCTCAACTCTTCCAGACCTTACTAGAGAAGATGCAGTGCTGCACAAGAGAACTCTGGGTTATCTGTAAGTTAAATCATGGGGCTTTAGGACATAGACAAAGAAAAAATAATTAGAAATCAATATATTCATTCAACAGTCACCAAAAGTCACTGAGCAAGGTGAACAAGGAGCTTATAGGCTACTAGGAAAAACGTAACCAAAGTTATCATTGACTGTGATTAGCATAGAAAATGCATAGAAGGTAAAGGAAAGGCAAGAGGAGGCAAGGGTCAACTGTGTCTTGGGAAAGGGAAGTAGAGGAAGAGATTAAGGTGAGGCAGGGAAAGCTTTACAGAGGAAATAAATTGAATTTATATAGAATGTGATTTGGGACATAGCCAAAGAAATTTAAAGCACTATAGTACCTTGATATATGAGAAGGGTTATAGGCTTATGCATGAAAACCCAAGATTAATGAATAATTTCAGGTAGGTTAAAACAAAGCAATTGGGTTTTTCTTGGTTAATAGAGTTGAGTGGCATGAATACATCTTATATGAGCCTAGATTTATTGAGAATCTTGATTTCAAGTGCTCTGTTCAGACCACATTTCTCAATTGATCACACTTAGGAGTGATTATGAGAAGTTATTTACTTAGTACCACTGGTGGAAACACATACAAGACCTTAAATAAATACTTAGATCAGATATCCACATGTATTTTCCAGATTTCCCAAGTACATGCCAATGAAAAGTCTCTTCTGGGGAATTTTAGGAAGACACCAATAGATGTTATAAAAAGTGTCCTGATCCAACAGGTAGAAAAGCAAAGAATCATTGAATGTCAGAACTGGAAAAAAAAAATGGTGCATTAGCTTTTCTGTTATTTTTGTTTTACAGAGTAATAAAATGAAATCCAGAATGGCAAGATGATATGCCACAGTCATTGTGTTAACTATGAAATTTCTGGATTTAATACTAAATCTCAGAGTTTTATATATGTTCTGGGGATCAAACTCAGGACCTTGTGCTTGCCAGGCAGGCGCTTATGCCACTGTGATCTCTCCAGCCCTACTCAGCTATGTTGAGGTTTTAATAAAGTCCAAAGGCATCTTTTTATTAGGATGAAGTCTTTTAGAGGACAAGAAATTGACAAGTTTATCTTCGTGCTCTATTACCTAGCACAGGACTCAGGACAGTAGTGCTTGATAAATGCTGACTGAATTGTTGACATGATGGTACATTTACAATATATCTGCTAAATTCAAGGAAGCTAACACATCTCTGCTTAAAATGAACGGTCATTCACTGTGTGTCAGGTGTATAAAGTATAAATTATTTCATTTAAGTGGCAAGTTAAGTTTAATTGCCACCATTTTGGAGTTAAGAAAATGAAATGCAAAGTGACAAGTTGACTTGTCCAAGGTCATGTAGGTGTAGGATGACCAACTGGCTTTGGTGTTCCTGTGACGTTCCAATTTCAAAATCCTGTACCTTGGGCATTCTCCTCAGACATGGGCAAACTGAGACTACCTACAGAGAAAGAAACTTGTGGCGCAGAGTTTCATTACACGGCGCTCTCCAATTCTTTTATTTATTCCCTTTCCTACATTTGCCAGTGTCTCAGGTGGTCATTAAGGCTAGAGAATGACGGCATATTGCCTAACACATAGGAAATATTCATGAAGTGATAGTGATGAATACATATGTGTTTATGTATGTCTTATATTTTATGTACATTGTTTTCCCTAAAGTATTAAAAGTAATTTTAAATACTAAAAAATAGCAGCTTTACACATCAATTTTAAATATTTTATTTATGGTTATCCAAATATCTCTACCTTGTGGCCTCTTTCTTTTTATCTTCTCTTTTTGAGACAGGGGCTCACTGTGTGGTTCAGGCTGGCCTTGAACTCACTAGGTATCCCAGGCTGGCCTTGAGTTCATACTAATCCTCCTGCCCCAGCCTCCCATGTTGGCATGAGCCAACACATCCAGCAACCTTCTTCGTTTTAAGGGAAGAAAATTCATCAATAGTTGTTTTCATCATATGACTTCGAGGAACAAATGAACCACTTAAAACACGAAAACTCATGTATAGTGGCACATGTGTTTTCTTTTGCTCCATGACTTGGCATAGAGGGGTCTGTTTTTAAAATTCTGATATGTTTTTTATCATGGATTTTTCATTAATTTTTATATCACATTAAAATATTTTTTATTTCGACGACAACATTCTTTAGTATCTCTTTAAATCCCCCATGCACCTCACCTGAGTGCCTCATTACCTACCCATAACCCCAGTTCATTCTATTTTATCTGAAAACTCAACAGAAACCCTAAACTTACCTCTCACAGAATGAACTCACCTCGAGAATACATAAGGCTGTCATTGCTGTCCTTGGGATCACTCACCTGGCCTCTAGCCTGAGATGCAGGGCCTAAAAAAGAGTGGTCCTGCATTCACCCTTGGTGTGCCTGGCCACAACTGTCCTGCAGGAGGTGCTGTGGAGCCCAGGACCCTCTGGAGGTAGACCCTTGGGGGAGAAAGCCAGCCTACTGCCCATCAGGTTTTGCCTTACTTTGGCAAGGGGATTATTATGAAATCATTGACTTTCTGTTTGCCTTTGGGGCTCCAATGAACCTATTATTTTCAAATAACCACTGTAATCTCGGACAAATGCCAAACAGAGTTAAGCTCATCTGCCCTGCGGTGGCCATAAAATCCAGACAATTCTCCCCCAAATGTTTTTGGTGGCACAGCCACAGCTTCTGTGAGATTCTGTCTTCCCCATTACCTTGTGGGTTTAGGGGAGCAGCAGAGAAAGCTGCCCTGGCATTCAGGAAGGGGAGGCTATCTACGTCAATTTTCCAAAACAAGTTTTGACATTTCTTGTAAAATGTCATCCTCTGTCTATTCACCTCTAGTACCCAGTGATCCAGGCCTTACCTGCTGGGCAATGACGGTAGAGCTGGGACAGGGACATAATAAAGGATCAGGACCCATGATCCCAACTTGCATCAGCCCCTGCGCAGGCGTCCCAAGGCTTCTTTCTCTTTGCAGGAGTTTCTGCAGGTTTTCTTAGTGAGTTGTGTGAAAAGCCTGCATGGTTTGGACCCAGACGAGGCTCTTTCCTCTGTCCCCGGTGGCTGGATTGGCTTTCCAAAGATGATATGGGGAATTTGTAAGTCATGTTCTTCCCTTTGACTTCCCAGCTCCTGTGGCCTCCTGATTCTAGGAGTAAGATGAAAGCCTCTAGTCTTGCCTGTGGTCTTCTCTCTGCGGCACTGTACCTCTTCTGGACTCCTTCATCCGGGCTCAAGACTCTCCATTTGGGAAGCTGTGTGATTGTCACAAACCTCCAAGAGATACAAAGAGAATTTTCTGAGATTCGGGACCGTGTGGTATGTGAGAGGAACATCGACTCCTCCTCCCTTTTTTGTCTGTCTCTCCTTTACATTTCAGGTAGCCCTGGAGAGATTACACAAAATCTCCATCTGGGGACTCCTTAGCATGTTGATAAATCTCAGGGAAACGTCTGCAGTTCACACTTTTAAAATGTTTTGCAAAGGGTTGCCACCTGGTGGGGAGGCAACGCGAGGTTCCGGTGTCAGATCCCACGGCAGCAGCCACTGACCTGCCCCTGTTTGCCTTTCCTTCTTCTGTTTAGCAAGCCAATGATAAAAACACTGACTTCAGAATCTTAAGGAGCACTGGATCTTTGCAAGACACAGAGGTATGTGCTCAGCCCCGATGGCTCCGGGAGGAAGCACCAAACCATAGCATCTCATCACCGGGGGCCTGTCCTCTGCTGACCTCTCCTCCCTGTAATACTGGTCTTCTTCATAGCCTTCGGGTCGCTGTTGCCTCCTCCGCCATTTACTGAGACTCTATCTGGACAGAGTGTTCAAAAACTACCAGACCTCTGATCACCACACACTCCGGAAGATCAGCAGTCTAGCAAATTCCTTTCTTACTATCAAAAAGGACCTTCAGCTCTGTGTGAGTGAAGGTCTTGGGTGACGGGGTCTGTGTTAGCACATAGCCTCAGTGACTTAGCAATGGCTTTCTTTCCAAGCCCTTTTAACAATGGATGCAGAAACAGTCCCAGAGCTCTAAGGTCTGTGTTGAGTCATGTGATTGGGTACAGTGGTACCTGAACTCATAGACTTATTCTTTCCATGATTCTGGTTGTAACCAGATTGTAAGACTTTAGAGCATATGCTCTTTGCAAAAAGTACTTTGCATAAAGAACTTATCTGTTATCCATGAAGTTTACTTTTCTATAGGTGAGGTGTTTAACAGTGAACTAGGCAGCCAATCAGCAAGCTCCTGGACTCTATCTCAGAATACAGGTTGAATAGGGTCTGGAAATGTAATTCTCCCTCCCAAATGGCTCAGAATTGCTCATAATAGACAAGACAAGATCTGGGCTGGGCATGCCAGGTAGGGGAAAGTGGTTACAAACTCCTTCAGCCCTGGCTATTTCAAAAAAGACGTGATCAGCTCCATAGCTGAGGCTGAAAAGCTGGCTTCCTCTCCCAGCTAATGATGAATTGAGTGATTCTAAATAAGATTGGAAAGAATTTTTCTATAGGATTGAGCATTCATGGGATTGTGGGTGAAACAGAATTTTCACTTGCTCATGTTGAAGGAAAGAGGAGATGTAGTCAGCAAGGAGCAGACTGGAATTCTAAACCAATTCTGTGAATCTTTGGGTCCTTTTCAGCAAGTCTACATGTCGTGCCATTGTGGAGCAGAAGCAGCAGAGAAGTACAGGCAGATTCTGAGTCACTTTGAACAGGTATATCCCTTCTTGGTAGTGTTTGGGGTGGGAATGATTTCAGACCCGAGATCGTAGAAAGTGGGATGGATGCTGGAGCTGTAGAAAGCCTGTGGCTCCCAGCTTAACCTCCGGGGGCAGAAGAGTGCTCTCTGCCCACTGCTGTAGGGTGGAAAGGGAACGGCCTCACCGCACTGCTTCCAAGCCGCTCCAGAGCCATCTGTGTCTTCCAGCCGCACAAATGACAGGCGATCAGCTTCTGCCTACCCTCGAGCTTAGGCGCTCCTTCAAAGGCACGCGCCCCCCACCCCCCGCCCCCCACCCCCGTGCTGCTGCTCACCTCAGCACTTTTGGCACCTGCTAGGAAGCCTGGGTCTGTTCCTTGCTGACTGCGTCTCCTCCTGTCAGACAGCCTCAGCATCATCCCCAGAAAGGTCCCTCCTGCTCCCTGAAGAGTTAGGTGCCTGCTCCGCCATCCTGTGCAGACCCCATCATTTATCCACTGCCCCGCATTTCAGGTGGCTGCTGCTTCTGCCTGTCACCCTCACTCATCTGAGAATTTCTTGTGAATATGGATCTTGTTCACACCTGAAACCCTGGTCACCAGTCCAGTGCTTGGCATGACCAATATTAATTCACAGTAGGCAACCCCTACACACACACACACACACACACACACACACACACACACCCTTCTTAAAGAAAACAACCTAATTATTTAATCTCTGTGAGTCCAGAGGGTTTGGTAGGTTGTAGTCTAAATTCTGCTACCCCCTAGGGCCTCAGTTTCTCTACCTGGGATCACTATGACAGACTTGAGGAAATCCCCTTCTCCAGGATCTTGAGATTCTATCATTTCTTTGATCTTACAAAAAAAAAAAAAAAAAAAAAAAAAAAAAAAAACAAAACCGCTCTACTCACAATACCTAGAAGATCAAGCAATACAAGGAGGATTAACCTGGGGGCAAATGTGTCTTTATGAGTTGCTAACGTGTGCTTTTTATGTATCTTTTTCAGCTCGAGCCCCAGACA